TCTTGAAATAGTTTGTGTAATTTTAACTTTAGGCATTCCCATACATAACCAAGGCTCGGAGATGAAATAACTTGTCCTTAGTCACACAGTAAGTGGTAAAAATGGACCTGAAGTCTATTCCACAAAAGACTACATGCCATGCTGTATGACTGATTCCACTTACATTCAAGAATGGGTAAAACCCATCCATGATGACAGAACTCACATCTACAATGATGTAAGAAAGAATAACAACAGTTCCCTCAGAGTTGAGGGGCGGGAACACAGACAAGACAAGGGCACAGGAATCTTCTGCAGTACTGAAAATGTTTATTTCTTCATCTAAGAGCTTACATACATGAGCTCACGCTTAATATTAGCACTTCACACATTTTACTGCATGCTATACCTGAAGTTAAAAAAAAAAAAAAATCCTCATCTTATGGAGTCCAAGTTTACACTCTTAACCACTAGGACAGAACCTAGCCACATGCTAGAATTGATTGCCTTGGATTATCAATTTTTTCAAACATTCTGGTAAGCAACATACATCCTACTCATATCAGAATAAAGACACCTGAACCATCTGTTTTAAAATACCACAGAATGAAAAGTAGAAAGTATCAATTTCCTGGCTACTGGGAATTTCCCCCTCCTGTAGCCACATCTGAAACTTTTTAAATTTAACCCTGCTAAAAAGAAACCTTTATAGCTGCACAGAAAATAATGTGTAACATATTCTTAAGGTTATATAAGAAAATACCTAAAGCTAAAATTACACAAGATACATGTTATGACTAACTCTCAAAAGACATCTGAATTTTGTTACAAAAATTAAGACAAGGTAAGAAGACAAAGCTGGTGGGCAAAGGTCCTTAACACTCACAGGGCAATACACAGAGAGGGCAAAATCTCAACTCTTAAAATTTGTAATAAAAGAAAAAGGGCATTTTGGGAGGCTGAGGCAGGCAGATCACAAGGCCAGGAGTTGGAGACCAGCCTGATCAACATGGTGAAACCCCGTCTCTACTAAAAATACAAAAAAAAAAAAAAAAAATATATATATATATATATATATATCTGAGCATGGTGGCGTGTGCCTGTAGTCCCAGCTACTCAGGAGGCTGAGGCAGGAGAATCACTTGAACCCGCGAGGCAGAGGTTGCAGTGAGCCGAGATTGTGCTACTAGACTCTAGCCTGGGCAACAGAGTAAGACTCCATTTCAAAAAAAAAAAAAAAAAAAAGACCTAATGTTTCTGTAGTTCTAAGTATGTGTTCTTAGTAAGGCATAGACACACACACACAAACACACACACAAACTCAGTATATGTAACTTTTTCCAGCAGCAAAGTAATTGTGCCACATAAGCCCTAATAAATTCTCCATCAAGTAACAAGTTCTCCTTGCTGAAGCTTTGTTCGGCCTGGCAAAGCCTCCTCACCAGTTGAGTAATGATGAAATCATTACATCAATTCTCCCAAAACCTTACCCCACACATACATATACCTCTTATTCAAACAGTAATTGCCTCTCCAGAGAGAGGCATGTATTCATTCTACGATTTGCAGACGTATTTGGCAACTACCTAGGAACAGCAATCCCACCTTACAGAGCAGAGAAAAAGACAGCTGGGTGGACACCTTTTGGGTGCTTGTGCTGTTTTCTTTACTGGATGCAGCCAGGAAACATTTACCACTTCAGAGTCTAGATTAATTCATGTTTTAACGTTCTGTACACACCAAAAATACCAAGCCATCGAATGACTTTAGTTTCCCCTGGGCATTTACATAAAAGACCAAAAAGCCTTTATGAAAATCTTTCAGTATTGGTAATGTATGCATCACCATCAGGCATGCTGCAATAGATTACATAACCAAGTATTAGCCTAGTTGTAAGATCTCAAGATCTCAATGTTTCTAAAAGCCACCATAGTTAATTATTAACTTTTAAAGTCTCTAACAGACTTTCCAATAAAACCATCAAAAACTATAGAAAACTAAAGAGTCAAATACTGCATCCAATAAGCAAGTTAGAAAGAATGAAAAGCACTGACCCAGTATGTCAAGAACATTAACAGCTGTGAATCAGCATCCCTAAATAGGATTTTCAAGACACCCCAGCATTGCTAGAAAACATTTAAAGTTTCAAAGTTTGAGAAACAGGATTCACCTTTTCTTTTACCCCTGCATCAGCTGAAAAAGCCCCACATATTTCTCTCCAGAATATCTTAGCTTTATACCAAAGACGCCTCATGCAAAGTAAAATGATCATTTTGGGGATCCTCATTCATTTCCTAATGTAACTTTTTTTTAAAAGAAAAAAGCACACATTGAACAGTATAGTGAAAATCAACTATGAATTATCAGTTCCACTTTCCACTTTTAGCATAACTTTAGTATCTCAGAAACCTAAAACATGACTTTTCTTTAAAACAAGAAAATCTTCAAAACTACAAACTCTTCATATAGTCAGCCCTTCGTCAGAAGCCCAGAAAATTTATAATTTTTGAACAACAAACAAATCATGTATATTTTCCTCAAAATACTACTTCATTCCTTAGATTTCAAGAACCTTCTATGTGCATCTGCCAAATGTGGCTGATTTCTGTCTCAGACAGGCAAATCTAAACGGTTCCCACAGGGTTACTGTTTTTGGTAAGGGGAAGTCGATGCCAGGAGGAACTTCTATATTGATTACAGCAATGACCACCACTTATTTAGCACTTCTTAACTCTCCTTGTGCAATGCTAGGAGTTTGACAAACATCCCATTTGCCCTCAGAAATAATCTTGTTGAACAGACACTACCATCCCAAAATCAGATACATATGTAAAATGAGGCTCATATGAGAAATAACTTGCCCAAGATCGCTGAACTAAATGTGGCAGAATCAAGTCTAATGAATGTTAAGGGTGAAAAATGGTGAGTTTCACACAGAATTAGGCCTTCATCATAGAAATGCCATCTGCACAAAAACTAAAGAACAGTGAGTCCTTGCTGTAGGGAGAAAAAGCAATATTCCAAACTAAAGAAGTACAGGTATTGATCGACTTACGACCTATGCAACTTATGACCATTCGACTTTACGACCACAATCGCTAGACACGACTGCTCCGCGTCTGGCAGCGCAAGCGTTGCCCAGCTGGGCGTACGACAGTGCGGACCAGCTTCCGGCAGCACTACCATCTCTGCGTGCACATAGCCTACTCAACTTACGACCAAATCGTGTTACGACCGGTCTGCCGGAACCAATCGTGGTCGTAAGTCGAGCACTAGCTGTAGTTTCAAACAGAAGATCTAATGATAAACACATTTGTAAAGGCTGGGCAGGGCGGGAAAGGATTACTCAAATTACTCAAGTACAGTCCTACAGGGTCCTGCACCTCTCTGTTCGTAAAATCTCATCTGATTTAAGAGTGCATGGGCTCTGAGTAAAACTCTCCCCAGTTCCTCCAGGCTTAACAACCCTCTCTCTACTCAAAAGAACCAGGAGCAGGAGCTAGGACAGTGGGAAGTGACCTCCCTGCACTGCTCTGCCCTGCCGGTCCTCCCTCCGGGTCAGCTGTCAGATCCGCATGGGTGCGACCAGGAGCCCATGAGCCGGCTCGGAGTCCCGGGACTGACTCAGCCCGGGTCCCCGCCTTCCCACTCCCAGTCTGAGCCCTGTCGGCCGCCTCGTTTACCATCCCATCACCTCCAGAGGCACAAATAATTACACTGGAGAAATTTATTTTAACAAGTATAACTGTATATTCACCAACTGGCTTCGCAATCAGATGTTACTGTAGGGCTCCAACAAGGGAAGGGCAAAAGAATATGGTTTAATTGTTCTAAACAATCATTCTGAGAAGTTAGGGTGGCTGAGGCGGCCACGGGGGATAGAGCTCAGGCACCTGTGAGCTGAGCCCACTCAACAACCCAACCACCCCTACGTTTTGGGCAGGGGAGCGCCTCCTCGTCAACCCAGGTTATAAATGTACATATTTTTTAAAGATGAGCTCCGACGTTGTGACACTTGTGGGGAGTCTCCCGACTACACCTCCACTTAATGGGGGGACAGGGAGTTCTACGGCTCCACAGCCCCGAGTGTCAAATATCGTAGCCTGGAAATTAACCAGGTGCCTTGGTTTATTGCCTCCAGAAGGGTCCGCCTGCCGCACTGGGGCAGCCGCTAGCCCAGTGCCCGCAGCCCTCGCAGAGCCCCCACGCCCACCTTCCCACGAGGTGTTTGGCAGAATCCGGCTTCAGGCGCTCCCTAGCCTGGCAGCACCCACCCCACCCCGCCCCGCCCCACCCCCACGAATCGGGCTAGCAGCCTGGTTAATCATTCAACGCAGGCGGCGTGGAATATTTTTTTAAAGGTCAAAGCGAAAGGTTCTCCCTAAGTTTGGCAGAAACCAGTTTTGGGGGAGACGGAGACAGAAGTGGTAGAGGTTGGGGGCGGGGAGGGGCTGCCGCCGGCTCCCTGGCTCACAAAACACCTGATCTCCCCATGCGGCACAGGAGGCCGGCGCAGTGCGAGGGTGGGGTGTGGGGGTGCGAGCGAGGAATCAGGCTCGCGCCCCTCCCCGAAATGCCCGTGCGCCCGGATGAAGAGGCCCGGCCCCAGATGCCCCTTCCCAAAGCCCACATCACCCCGGAGCCGGATCCCCCGGAAGTTGGGGTGCAGCGGGGAGGGGAAAGGTCCCCGGGCCCCAGGGCGGGGTGGGCACAGAATGGGGCGCAAGGCTCCAAAGCCCCGCGGCAGGCGGTGTCCTTCTCCTCTCCCTCTGGGGTAGGGAGGGTGGCCGGGATGGCGGGAAGGTAGAGGAGGCTTAAATGCGGCAGGAATCACCTAAGGACGGCTTCCTCCACCCGGGTGCGGGTATGAGGCCGGAACCGGCGAGGAACTGGGCGGGGGGAGCAGGGGGTCGGGAGGGTGGGGCCGGGGGTAGGAAGGCGGAGGGGAGCGGCAGATGGGCCAACGGGGAGAGGGCAGGGGGGAGGGAGGCGGCGGCGGTGCTCGCCGCCCCGGGCCCTACCTTGTCCGGGAGCAGCTCCAGCTCGGCGGGGCGGGGGCAGGGGCGGGAGATCGCGGCCGCATCCACGTCCCGGCCGCTCCGCGCGGCTCAGCCCGGCGACCACCGCCGCTCACGCTCCATGCGCGGCGCCCGGGACGGGCGGCCCGGCGGTGGGGACAGCTCCGGCTAGGCTCTGCTGGCCTCCGGCACTTGTTGCCGCCGCTGCCGCTGCGCCTCACTCCCGGCTCCGGTTCCGGGCGCAGCAGCCGCCTCGGGCGCCCGGCCCCGCCCCGCCCTTTCCCGCCCGCCAATGGGGCCCGGCCCCGCCTCTCGCGTCACCGCCCGACGGCACCGCCCCGCGCCCCAAGTTTTGGTAGGGCCCGGCTCTCCACAGCGGGCACTGGGACCCGCCTGGGCCTGCGCTCCCCGCGGCTTCCTGGGACCCTCCGGCCCCCACGCACCCTCCTGCAAAGCCAAGGGTTAAGCTGGGGAAAGGAAGCCTCTAGGAAGAAGACCCCCCGCCCCGGAAAAGCCCGGCAGCTCCAAACTCCGAAACACGAATGAAACTCAACTCCAGCTACCGCCCCTCCAGCTGCGGGTGGCCCCTCTTGCGGTCCGTCTGAGGGTAGGCGACTTAGCGCATCGCCTGGCGAGACTCCAATGGCCTTTTCTGGCCCGTTTGTGACTGTAACTAGGCGGACCCCGGCCGCCCCCTCCAGTGCTGGGGCGGGGGAGGAACGTCCCTGCCGAAGAGGCGGGGGAGGGAAGCCAGGGCCACCGTGGGGCCTGACCTTTGCTCCATCTCTTAGGAGCTCACGACCAGGGTGGTGCCCTGCTTGACACTGCCACTGGATCCTCTGGCTTATGAAGCCGTCCAGGGCATGAGGAGTGAGAGTTCCTTAGTTCTCCTCGTGGGGTTATACAGAGGGGTTTCCTCGAGGTCCCATGCCCGTCTTAGGAAGCCAGAAATGCAAGATGCTGGGGCGCTCGGCCCCAAGGGGCAGGACGGGTACCCAGGAGAGGCCTAAAGGGCGGGACTCCGCCGCCCCCTTTGGACAATGCTGGGCTCCGTCAGCCAGAGGCGGCCTTGGCGCCAACCACACCTACCAGCGGGGGCCCCCGGGACCGCTGTTGCGCCCTCCTACCCCCAGGCTCCTGCAGGGCTCCCCAGAGCACTGCATTCCAAAGTGACTCCGAGACGCAGCAGACACAATTCTGAGGCCCCCAGGTAAGCCTGGTGCAACGGGATGGAGGAGTTACCTGGTTTTAAAAGGCCCAGGTCAGCCAGCAAGGCTCGCGGGCGCTCCGCGGGGAGGCAAGCGTCGCCAGGAGCGCACCTGGAAGCGCCCCCGCCCTCAGGTCCTTACCTCTGTATCGAAATCGAACCCACCTAGATAATTGGACTGAGCAATTAAGGACGCTTCACCCCCAACTGTTAGCATTTCTTCTTAAGGCTCTGGAAGGCGGAATTAGCCGGAAGGGAACATTGCTAAGTAGGAATTTCAGGCACCTGCGAACTGAGCCCACTCAACGATCAGCCCTTACTCTTAACCAAACTCGGCAAAGGAATAAAGACCAAGTTGCTGCGGATGCAGAGCCACGTGGGTACGGTCCTCTAGAAACAGGAATTCTGAGTCAGTAGATCTGGAAATGTTACGGTTTGCAGTCGTCAGACCGTCTTGCTTTTATGCCGTTCACATGATTCTCCTTGGACTGCGATGTAAAGTCCAAGAAACAAGTGGAATGTTTGCATATTCATAGAAAAAATATCTGTAAGGGTGCACACCGACTGTTAACCACGATTACGCGGTTAGAGGAAACAAGGGAGTTATTACTGCATTAACTTTGGGTTTTGTATTTTTCCTGTTATATTTACTTTCATAATTTAGAAAACTAATAAAACATATTTAAAGAAACAAGCTAGAAATTCTTTAAGAACTCTTCAGGAAGTTTAATAGATAAAGGAAGCCTATGTCTTTTCATTATGTGTCAGAATAATCTTGAGTCCACGTTCCTTGGTTTAAATAAGGATATCTCTAAGCTGCTGTCTGATATTTACATGCAGTGATGAGACAAAGCCGACATCTAAGGAAGATTTTCTGTGCCATCAGGTTGGTATATTGTTTCTATGCATAGGTGTCTTCCCTTTAAATGCACTCCCTGTAGTCACAGACATGCTTGCAGGGACTGCCAGCCAAGGGGTTTTTAGTAAAGGAACTGCTACAATGTCACCTGGCAACCAACTATGAAATTAAGCTTGCTTGCAGCTGCCAAAGGCTGCTCTGGCCATGAAATTTAAAAATTTTTTAAAGAGCATTCTCTGGCCACAGTGGCTCACGCCTTTAATCCTAGCACTTTGGGAGGCCGAGGCAGGTGGATCACTTGAGGTCAGGAGTTCAAGACCAGCTTGGCCACCATGGTAAAACCCTGTCTCGACGAAAAATACAAAAAAAATTAGCTGAGCATGGTGGCAGGCACCTATAATCCCAGTTACTTGGGAGGCTGAGGCAAGAGAATTGCTTGAACCCGGGAGGTGGAAGTTGCAGTGAACTGAGATCCTGCCACTGCACTCCAGCCTCGGCGACAGAACAAGACTGTCTCAATAAATAAATAAATAGATAAATCTCCATGGTGCCTTCAACGCAGTTGGGAGTGTATCTGCAACAGCTACACTGTGTCCTTAGGGGAGTAACTCAATGCTAGATTCCACATCACTTGGCTATAGTCCCTACCTTTAGGTTGGGACCCAGGTCCATCATCAGCGGGCAGAGATGTGTTTTTCACTTATTCAACAAAAATGAGTTGGCCGTCCTCTAGGTGCAGCACAGGACTAGGTGCTGGAGTGGTGAACATGGCAAACACACACTCCCTGCTTGGAGCTCACAGTCTAGCTGGAGAGAAGGGCTTAACAATTAAATGCACTATCAATCACAATTGTGATACGGGCCAAAGGGAGTACAAAGTGGTGGGATCATCTGGGGAGTCCAGGAGGAGTTCCTGGCTGATACAGACTATAAAGGAAGAAGTATTTGAGAGGAAAGTTAGGCAAGCAGGGGTTAGATCACGCAGGGCCAGTGCACCACATGGCAGAGTTTGGTTTATCCTGAGACATTTGAAACAAGAGTCATACACTCAAATTGGCATTTTGAAGTATATCATTCTAACTGCAATGTGAAGAAGCAATAGGGGAGGGGGAGGACTGGAGTGGAGGGACAGTTAGGAGGCTGCTGCCCATTTAATGTGAGAGATACCATTTGTCTAAGCAGTAGAGTGAATATAGAGAAGTAGACTCAAACAAGACTTGGCAATTGCTTAGTGGGGGATGAATCAAGGAGAACTCCCAGATCTTTGCTTTCATCAGATGGATGGCGGTACCATTTTCTGAGTTGGGGAACCCTCCCAAGGTTCACATTTGGTTAAAGTGGGTTTGAGGTGCCTGTGACATGCCTGGGTGGAGATGTTGAGCAGGTGGTTGGCTGTAGGGTCTGGTGCTCTGAGGAGAGGCTGGCGCTGGAATCGCTGATGTGGCAATGGTAACGACGTCACCAGAGACACGTGGGCTTCTATAAGAGTATAGAGTTAGATCAGAAGACCTAGCACTGAGGCTTGAAGAACTCTTATCTAAGGGCCCGACAGGAAAACCTCTGGCAGCAGAGGTGAAAGAGCAGCCAGAGAGGCAGGAAAAAAACTAGGAGCTTGTCCAGGCGTGGTGGCTCATGCCTGTAATCCTAGCACTTTGGGAGGCCGAGACAGGTGGATCATCTGAGGTCAGGAGTTGGAGACCAGCCTGGACAATATGGTGAAACCCTGTCTCTACTAAAAATTCGCTGGGCGTGGTTGTGGGCTCCTGTAATCCCAGCTACCTGGGAGGCTGAGGCAGGAGAATCGCTTGGACCCAGGAAGTAGAGGTTAAAGTGAGCCAATATCACATTACTGCACTCCAGCCTGGGCAACGAGCAAAACTCCATCTTGAGAAAAAAAGAAAATTAGGAGCTTGGGGAGGTAGGGTCACAGAGAACAGGGACAAAAGCACTCTAAGCAGGCGGCAGTAGTCAACATCACTCAAAATGGCTGACAAAAGGTGCATGCAGTGGCACACACTTGTAGCCTCAGATACTCAGAAGACTGAGGGGGGAGGATTGCTTGAGCCCAGTTTGAGGCCAGCCTGGGCCACATAGCAAGACCCCCATCTCTTTTATAAAAAACGGCTAAGTGACCCAAGTGAAGTGAAAATTGAATAACATCCACTGGAGTTAGTGACCTTGATGTCACTGGCACTTTTACAGAGCAGTGGCTGGTGGAGTGAGGGGACTGGGAAATAGATTGGAGTAGATGGAGGCATGAGCAAGGGGTGAGAAATGAAAGGCACAGGGTACGAACAATTCTTGCAAGGTTTGACTGAAAAGTTGGAAAGAAAAGTAGCTGGAGGGGAATGTTAGATCAGCAGTGGGTTTATTTTGGTTTCTATATTTTAATTATTTTTAGAATGAAATTACTTGAGTATATGTAAATGCAAATGAGGAGGATCCCACAGAGAAGAGGAAGATGAAGGTACAATAGGGAAAGGACAATGGAACACAAAGGCTCCTGTGTCCATGAAAGGGTTGGAACCAGAGTATAGGCAGAAAGGCTGACCTCAGGCAGGGGCCAGCTTCTCTGTTATAACAGGAGGGAGGAGGCTGGAGGAGGACTGAGCCAGGCTGCTTTCACAGAGGTAGTTGAATCTTTCCACCTGATGACTTCCTCTTAATTCTGTGACATAAAGGAGGCTAGGGACAGGACAAGGAAAGATGACAGATTTGAAGAGAGTGGAGAAGGTTTGACACAGTCACTGCAGAAGTTTGGGAGGGTTATGATGACCAGAGAAACAGCCAGATAGCAAGGCAGCATGGCAGTCCCCCTGGGGCTGGTGCCTGTGGACTTTAAAGGTGCCCTTTGGTCCTCCTGTGTGGTTTCTTCCTACAGCTCAGCTGCCCACTGTGGTGCCAGCTCAAATGAGGAAATTGCCAGGACAGAGGAGCAAAGGAATTGAGAGCCTTGGCAACAGTGAGGCGGCACGGTGAATGACCAGAGAGGAAGGACAGGAGCCAAGGGACTGGAAAAGTCAAGGGGCCAAGACTCTGTCGCACCAGAAGGAGAGGAAGTTGGGTCAGAGACTGGATCTGAAGTAAGAGGTTCAGGAGGTGGAAAAGTTTAGGGCCTTCACAAAGCCAGGACCCGATGGGGCAGGCATGAGGAGAAA